TAGCATGTATGAAGCCCTGGGTCCAATCCCTCAGTTACACATAAACAGAAAAAGCCGAAAGTGGCACTGTGGCACAAATGGTAGAGGGCTAGCTTTGAGCAAAAAGAAGCTCAGAGACAGTGCCCATGTCCTGAGTTCAAGCCCCAGGATGACAAAAAAAAAATACAATCATACAATCTCTACAAGTAATAAAAATGAAGATATTAAAAGGCTGGGGTGTAGTTCAGTGGTAGCAACATGCACACACACAGATATTCAAATAAATAAAGCTGGATGCCAGTGGCTTATGCCTGTAATCCTAGCTACTCAGGAGGCTGAGATCTGAGGATCACGGTTCAAAGCCAGCCTGGGTAGAAAAGTCCGTGAGACTCTGATCTCCAATTAACCACTAGAAAACTGGAAGTGGTGGTGTGGCTCAAGTGGTAGAGTGCTAGCCTTGAGCTGAAAAGCGCAGGGACAAGTGCCCGGGCCCATAGTTCAAGCCCACGACTGACAAAAATAAATAAATAAATAAGATATAATAAGTGGGTTGCCTTAGCAGATTGAAGATAGCAATCTGCATGCTAGAACTGAACATCTAAGGAGTGCAATAAACAGGAATTCACTCAGAGAGCAGAATTTCCCAGGGCAGGGAGAAGCATTAAAAGGAGACTGTACATAGGTAAGTTGATGGACAGGTATGTGCACAAAGAGTAAGGAATGTTTACAGAACTCTGAATCCTCCAAGAGCAGAACTTGACTTATATCTTGTTCATTGGAGAGAGAAACTTACAGGTAACACTTAATGAGGCATGTGTCTTATTAAACAAATTAAGGGGAATTGTCTTCACAGACATACTGCGCCTAGCACTACCCTGGACAGTGGTCTAAATTAAATTCTTGTACCAATAAGACTGATGTTAGATAAGCTCAAGGGTTTGTTGCCTCATCCACAGACCTCCTAATTCCACTGATGGATCAAACAGAATCTGATGGGACACTGTAGATCTCATTCCAGCAAACCACAACGTTTATCAGAAAGTTGTAGTTGGGCCAAGGCCCGTATGCCAAAGAAATGTTTTAAGAGTTATCCTATCTATTCTATTCTATTTTCCATTCCATACCATTTCATTTGGACTCATTCGTGCAATTCTGAAAATAGTACCACCAAATCATCTTTTTCTGGGATCTCAAAGCACAAAATAGCCAAGGGACATTGTGTGTGAGGCTCAGAGCAAGGAAGGAAGTATTTGTCCCCTGCAGGAAATCTTGCAGTAAGGAAATATTTGTCCCTTGCTTATCCTTATTATTTCTTAAGGTGTTCTGAGTAAGAATCATAATTGCTAGAATTTAGGGTTCCTTTCATAGGCGTGCTACTGATTCAGTGGTTCAGGCTTCAAGTTCAGAAAGACTCTGTGCTTACTTAATACTCTACTGTTACTTTGAAATTCTTTTTGGGTGCTGGGATGGAGCCCAGTCCCTCACAAATGTTGAACACCTACTCCATTTAGCCTTTGAATTTGTACATGTGTGCATGTGTGTATGTGCACATGCGCATGTGCACCAGTGCTGAGACTTGAACTCAGAGTCTCAACATTGTTCTTTAGCTTTTTTGCTCAAGCCTGGAGTTCTTCACTTAAAGCCACAGCTCTACTTCCAACTTTTTTGTGGTAAATTGGAGAGAAGGTCTTTCTGCCCAGGCTGGCTTCAAACTATGATCCTCAGATCTTAGCTACCTGAGTAGCTAGGGATTACATATGTGAGCCATTGGCACTCAATTGTGAACCAAGTGGTAAAGCACCAATTTGAAACAGTAAAAGCTAAGGCACAGTACCTAGGCCCTGAGTTCAAGCCTTAGGATTGGCATGCATGTGTACACGTGCACATACACATGTGCAAACACACACATATAGTTTACAAAGTATATATAATTTTCCTGTTCTCTATTTACCCATCCTGTTTCAGTCATGTTATACTAATAAAATAAAATTACTTGGACTGGAGTTGTGGTTCAAGTGGTAGAGTGTCTACCTACCAAACACAAGGCACAGGGTTCAAACCCCAGTCTCACAAAAATAAGAAAGTAATAATAATAAAGACAAATATACTGATTGATTCTTTAATAATACATAAATAAATTCCTTGCTAAGAATTCTCAGGCCAGGTGCCAGTGGCTCATGCCTATAATCCTAGCTGAGGAGATTTAGCTCAAAGCCAGCTCTGGCAGGAAAGTCTCTCTTTTGCTGTTGTTGGTAGCGGTGGTGGTGGTGGTTGTGGGGCTTGAACTCTAGGCCTGGATGCTGTCCCTCAGCTCTTCAGCTGAAGGCTAGAGCTCTACCATTTGAGACTCAACCCCACTTCCAGCTTTTTCTGCTTATGTGATGCTGAAGAATTGAACTCCAAGGCCTCATGCATGCAACGCAAGCACTTTACCACTAAGCCACCTTCCCAGCCCCAGTCTCTCCTTCTTGTATGACACCTTGAAATTCTTTCCACAGGTGAACCTCTAGTACCTGTGATTTTTTTTTTTCCAGAAACTCATAAGCTGAAGGGACACCCACATTGTGGACCCAGTGACATTCCTGGACAACCCTCTCTTTTAGTACTCAACAACAGAAAGGAACAAGAGCAACCCCATGGCATTACTCTTTCATATCATAATCTGTAACTACTTTACTCACTTATATTTTGCTACTCCCTCTGGAAACACAAGTTACAAGTTGTATATTGCTAACTTGACAGCATCTAACACCATCATTAGTATATGCTAGATAGTCAATAAATATTTTAGTAAACTAAGCTTCCAAGGAAACTTTACATAAAGAAAAGTAGGAGCGGGGTGCTGGTGGCTAATACCTGTAACCCCAGCTACTCAGAAGGTTGAGATTTGAGGATCCTGGTTCAAAGCCAGCCTAGGCAGGAAAGTCCATGAGACTCTTATCCCCAATAAACCACTCAGAAAACCAGAAGTGGTGCTCTGGCTCAAGAGGTAGAGCGCTAGCCCTGAGCTAAAGAGCTGAGGGGGACAGCGCCCAGGCCCAGAGTTCATGACTAACAAACAAACAAAAAAAAAAACCAAAACAAAACAAAAAACTCCTACAAGCTTTTCATAAAACAAAAGCTCATTTTATTAAATAGTACTTGGTCTTGCAGACATTCAGTAGATATTCTAATGTGGTGTGTGGGGGGGAGTGTCCTCCAAGATGAAAACTATACTAATCATTATATAATGGGACTTGGGGATTAGGATTCACTTTCTTTTCTTTTTTTCTTTCTTTTTTTTTTTTTTCTTTTTTGCCAATCCTGGGCACTGTCTCTGAGCCTCTCTGTACCCAAGGCTAGCACTCTACCACTTGAGCCACAGTACCACTTCTGGCTTTTACTGAGGAATCGAACCAAGGGCTTCATACATGTTAGGCAAGCACTCTACCACCAAGCCACATCCCCAGTCCTAGGATTTACTTTCCAAAAATTGTCATTTGGCAGGGTGCTGGTGGCTCAGGCTTATAATCCTAGCTACTCAGGAGGCTGAGATTTGAGGATCATGATTCAAAGCCAGCCCAGGCAGGAAAAGTCCACCAGAATCTTCTCTCTCATAAATCGCTCAGAAAGCCGGAAGTGGCACTGTGGCTCAAGTGTTAGAGCACTAACCTTGAGCTGAAGAGCTGAGGGACAGCACTCAGGCCCAGAGTTCAAGCCCCATGACCAACAACAACAAAAAATGTCCTTTGCACTTTAGCTCCCTATCTAAAATACCATAGTGAGAGAGAAAATGTTAACCCCAAAGTCCTGACACCTGGCTCTGTGATGCTGTTTGGCTAATTGGAGCCCCTAGCTAAATCTACTGCAGGTATTCCCTTCATCTCTTCTGCAAGTTCTAGCACTGCTGTGTACAAGGTAGACAAGCATCTCTCTCTCTCTCCCCCTCCAGTTTTGACCAAAACAATAACTACATTCAGCATTTCCTTTTTCTTAATATGGATGAGCATTCAGGATTTAGCGACAGGAATCTCAGTGGAAACGTTTTCCCTCCAATGCTCATCCTGGAGGCCCAGATGCTGAATGATAGGGCATTTGATGAAAAGTAGTGGAAGGTGTGCTTGTGTATTACTGTGTTTCAATTTTCTCCACTGTAAGTCCTAATGCAGTAAATATGCATACATAAATCACATTTTAAAAGGCTGTGGTACAGCCTTTGCTTAGCATGCCCAAGGCCCTGGGTTCCAGCACCACCTGTAACAAAAACAAACAAAAAAATCTACCCTCATTGGAGTCTTCCACAATTTATTAATCGTAAAGGCGTCTGCAAACAATAAATCTGAGAGTCTCTAAATATCCATTAAGTCATTAGCAACAAATACATAATAGAGACACTAAAATGTGGTGTTTGGTCGTAGCCTTTGATCTGGAGACTACCTGAGCGGGACGGACAGGTGGAGAGGTCGGAGGATGCGGGCGACAGGCCAAGGGACAAAGCCCCAGGGAATGAGCCTTCCCTCACCCCACGGCCCGTCCACAGCCAAGGCTAAACGCGTTGGAGAGCCAGGCCCGGCTTCCTGTACCCCTTCCATGTTGCTCTCAGCACAAACCATGCATTCTTCTCTCGCTGGCCCGGCACAGCGGAAACCTCGGCATCCTTGGACCACACAGGGAACTTTAGGGCCGGTGGCACTCCGTGGGCCAGGCCGCTACGTAATAACTGCCAAGCTCAGCACAGGGGTAAAACATCCGCTCCTAGATTTGGGGAGGGGGGCGTGTGCCAGGCAGAAAAGGGCGGGAAAATGAAGCGCTAAAGAAAGAAAGAACGAAGTTGGGGGCGGGGGAAGCAGGCCGTGCGGGAAGCCAATGAATGGGATCCGGGCAGCCGCGCGCGCTCCAGTCCTCGATGTGCGCAGGCGCGCGACTGGCGCTCTCGCGGGAAAGAGCCGTTGCCGGCGGTGTACAGACATATAAGGGGCGGGGAGGAGGCTGGGGAGGGGGGGTGGGAGAGAGTGGAGGCGGGAGTGAAGTCTCGCGAGAAGAGGCGGTTGCCTTAGAGGAGCCCTCTGGCTGTGTGCGTCCTAGGAGCCGCCGCCGCCGGAGCTGCGGACGGTTTCTCTCAGCCCGTTAGTGCGCCCGGCCGAGACTTCCCGCCGCCGGCATGTCGCGCTACTTGCGTCCCCCGAACACGTCTCTGTTCGTCAGGAATGTGGCGGACGACACCAGGTAGGCACCGGGCTGGTCCTCCGGGCCTGCGCGGGGAGACCGCGGGTGCACGGTGAGGAGCGGCGGCGGCGGGCCGGGCAGGGGCGGGGCGAAGATGGCGGGGCCCGCGCCCGCCCGGGCGCCCGACTAGGCCGCGCTGCTCGTCAGGCCCGCCGCGCGGGAGCGAGGGCACGCCCGGGACGGCTTTTCGGGGGTGGGCCGGGTCCTCGTGGCGCAGCCGGCCCTGCAGGCCCGACTTCCGCTCCCCATTCAACTCCGGTCCACGTTCCGGAGCGTGCACGCCCCCTCGCCCGGAAAGGACCTGGTGGCTTGTTTCTTTTCTTTTATGCCAATTAAACGTTTCCGTTAAAACACCGTAGCGAAATAACGGATTGAGGAAGGAAGATGTGCATCCGCGTGTGCTACCACCCCCACCCCCCCGGACCAGCATTTGGTACCCATTCGTCCCCTCCCTTGGCCGTTATTTTGATGTTTCATCTACTGCAAGTAAAGGACTGGTGAAGTGTGAGAAACGAGAGGTTGCTGGGGTTCCCCCCCCCCCCCCCCCCCCCGCCCCGGGCTAAATGGACTAGTGTTTCCCGGAAATTCTGGTTACCTTTGAGACAGGGGCTTGTAGAGGAAGTCCCTCCCCTTTGAACGCTAGCAGCTAAATTAGATCAGTGGAGATAACGTCTCTCCTGGCTTTGTTTTTGGTTAATTCCCTTAATTACTCCGGCTTACCCTCAGAATTTCCTGGTGGACACCTTGTCACACCGCGTTTTGAGTTTCCCTAATCTGACAAGTTTTTTTTTTTTTTTATTGGGGTGTTTTTTTGTTGTTGTTTTTTGTAGTGGGGGAGGGTTAGGTTTGCGTGATTTACTTACTCAGTCTTATTAAGTAGAAGAAAAGGCAGCGGTAGTAATCGTTACAGCGTCTTCTCATTTTAAGGGCGGAGATGCAGTTAGGATTCTGATTTTTCCTGCTATTGGTATTATTAAAGTAGTGTCTGATCCTGTCCACACAGTTTTGGGTTAAAAAATAAAACATAGAATCTAATTCTGTGGTAATGTCTGTGAAAAGTAAAAGAAGGTATTTTAAAGTAATCCCTTTGTAATGTAAAATAGCATTAGATGTAGAAGCTGCATGTGTGCGTGCATGTGTTTGTGTGTATGTGTATGTGTGTATGTTTGTGTCCTTGGCTGTGTTGTGTGTGTGTATGTGTTCATGTCCGTATGTTTTCCATGTCCTTGGCCATCTGGGGACTTGAACTCGGCCTGATCCCTATCTCTGAACTTTTTTGCTCCAGTTATCTCTTTTAACATTTGAGTCACAGCTGTGCTTTTTGAGTGGTTAATTGGAGACAAGCATCTCATGGACTTTCCTGCTCAGCTGTCTTTGGATCTTGATCCTCAAATCTCAGCCTCCTGAGTAGCTGGGATTACATGTTTGGGCTGTGTAATTCCAGGATGAGCTCAAGTTTAGTAACCCTCCTGTGTCAACATCCCAAACAGATTTACAGACAGTACCTCTGTGCTTAGCTGTACAAACTGCATTTGCTCTTAACACATTCTTGAATTTTGCCTTTCCTTGATTAAGAAAAAATGTACAGGGCTGGGAAGGTGGCTCAGTGGTAGAGCGCTTGCCTTGCATAACTGAAGCCCTGGGTTCAATTCCTCATCACCACATAAGCAAAAAGAAAAAAAGCCAGAAGTGGCGCTGTGGCTCAAGTGGTAGAGAGCTAGCCTTGAACTGGAGAGCTGAGGGACAGTGCCCAGGCCCAGAGTTCAGGCCCCACAAGCGGACCAAAGAAAAAGAAAAAATGTACATATGCATCTCTCTCTCTCTATATATATATATATGCTTCTTCTGTGGTTATTCTTCCCTGGGGTTTGAATTGGGATGGGGTCTTGGCATGAGCCATTTCTTTAGCGGTTTTAGCTTTAAATTATGCTTATGTTTTTCTGTGGCTGTTCTCTCTCCTCTCCCTCCCTTCCTCCCTACTTCTTCCTTCTTCCTCTTCTCCCTTCTTCCCTTCCCTGGAGATTGAACTCTGGGCCTTAACTTGAGCATGTCTCTAACTCTCTTTGTCTAACAGTCTTTTTTTTCACTGGGCCTGGGCACTGCCCCTCAGCTCTTCAGCTCAAGGCTAGGCTTCTACTACTTGAGCCACAGTACCACTTCTGGCTTTTTCTGCTTATGTGGTGCTGAGGAATCAAACCCAGGGCCTCATGCATGCAAGGCAAGCACTCTACCACTGAGCCACCTTCCCAGCCATTGTTTTGTTTTGCCAGTCCTGGGGCTTGTTTTGCTCAAGGCTAGCACTCTACCACTTGAGCCACAGCACCACTTGAGGCTTTTTCTATGTGATATGTGGTACTGAGGAATCAAACCCAGGACTTCATGCATGCTAGGCGAGCCCTCTACCACTAAACCACATTCCTAGCCCTAACAATCTTTTCAATAGGGTCTCTGTTTATGCCTGGGTTGGTCAAAACCACAAGTCTCCTGTTAGCACTAGTTAAGGCATTGGAATGAAAGACATGTACCAACACACTCAGCTTTTATTGGGTAGGTGGGGGTCTCTTAAGCTTGTGCTTGGGCTGTCCTCAAACCTTACTCCTTTTGATCTCAGCCTCCTGAGCAGCTAGGATTGGTTCTTAATGTTATGTTTTAGAAGTTTGTCCGTGTCAGGTCCTCCAGGGCAAGGATATAGCTAGGACCCTTGGGGCCCTTTCATTGAATTGATTAAGGTATTTCTGAAAAGTTAACTATTGCTCATAAACTGCTTATAAACTAATTTAAAAGTATGAACCTAAAAATTTGAGTTCTCTTTATGGTGTTCTAGGTCTGAAGATTTGCGGCGTGAATTTGGTCGTTATGGTCCTATAGTTGATGTGTATGTTCCACTTGATTTCTACACTCGACGTCCAAGAGGATTTGCTTATGTTCAATATCCTTTCTTCAGATGGCTGATTAGTGAGGGGTGTTGAAGTTTCAAATTCAAGTTTATGTAAGTGGTAACATCTAAGAAGTAGTTTATTTTTGTCCTCTAATAAATGTCATATGGCTTCAAATTTTTGAAAATTAATTCTGACTCACATTGCTCTTGCTGTTTCTTAAAGTTAATCCAAAAATGGTTAATTATTAAAATTCCCATCCATGCTGCTGAAACTCAAATCAATGAATATAGTATGTGATTTAAATTTGCTACCATCTTAATATAAGTCAATTAAAAGTTAATATGTTCTTGTGCTTAGCAATAAAAGTTTAGTATTGTTTGTTAATTTGAATCACTTGATCAAAAACGAATTGTATAACAATGAGGTAAACTTCTTTAATATTGTCCCCTAATTTGCTGTCCTCTTGTTACCTCAGAATGTAAAGCTGTACAGTTATGGCGACCCCAAAGAGAAAGCATGAAAGAACCTTTAGAGTAGAGTTCAACACTTAAGGCAAGTAGACAAGCCAAAGACCTCTTAAGGATCAGGCTTGAAGAGAAGGGAGAGTTTGGGAAAAGAAAAATAAAGAAAAGCTGGAAGAAGGACAAGCCTAATGGGAGACAAAGCCTCGCTTTATCTACAGAGGGGGAAATGGTTGTTTTTCAAAGTTAAAGATAAAGCCATCTGTCATATTTGGCCAAGCATCTCATGACAAGTCCTTCTGACAAGCACTAAAAGAGTTAAAGGTCAAGATGAAGTTGAATGATGGCCAAGATTAAAGGAGTCATACCTGATGTATCCTACAGAATTAACTTTTTTTCTTTTTCTTTTTTTTTCTTTTTTTTTTTTGTTAATGTTTTATAAGCAGTTACTTTTCAGAATTATTCTGGTTTGGTGTAGTGACAAAACATGTAACCTGTAACTCTTTGTGTGGGCCTATGATGTGATTGTGGTCTTGTGTAAATGCACTTTTTCTTAGGCTTTCAAGTTAAAGTATAACAGGGTCTAACATGTTAAGCTTCAGTTTGGCATGTTTGGGTTAGCTCAAGTGATCAGAGGCTCTTTGGAATAGCATGAGAACTTTACCTAAGGAGAGATAGGTGCATGTACCAGATGCTACTTAGAAAGAGCTCTGGTGGTCTTGCAGGGTCAGCTATGCTAGCATTAAAAAGAGATGGATTCTTAACTGGCTGCCAGGAACACAAACTCCTATTAATTTCTGGAGTCTTAACTCTGAAGCCTGCTGGCCCTGCAAAGTGATCATTTGCCCCTGAGTGGGTTGCAGAAGGCCTTCTCTGTAGGTACCTAATCCAGATCTATGGGAAATTGATCCTTGACCCAGAGTTTCAAATGACTTTGCTTCCCTTCAGTGAGATCATCTCCTTACAAAACAAAGATTTGGGCTGTGAACTACACAGGAGGAATTCTTACCACTTAAAAGTCAGTGAGTCTCTTGCTACTTTCAGGTTGTCATGTTCTAGTAAGACTTGGAAGGGAAGGCCAAAGGCTGCTTGTACAGAGTCAGTGATCACAGACAGCTTTGGGAATCATTTGCATAAGTCTATTACAGAGAGGATATTAGCTTTTTCTAGCTTGGAAAATAAAGCTAGTGATCTGTCGTGGTTTACAAAGTTCATCTGATTTTACCTGGTTTAGGGTGGCCTTGAAACAAGAGTTTGCAGTAGTTTAGCCCAGGAGTATGTGATACATGAGAACAAGGGATGGTAAATGAAGAATCCAAGTAGAGTGATAGTGCTTTATACATATGCTTTAGGTCTTCCTGTAGTTGTAAAATAGCTCGAAAGAAATAAGTAACAGGCTATAAGTTTATTTTAGATGACTGAAGTACAAATTTGTCCATAACTAGTTTCAGTTACAACTTACCTACTCTTTCCTACCTGATTCTATTCCTATTTAGCCTTCTCTTCCTTTCCCTGGCTTAACAAAAAATGTATACCCTTACTATCTAGCCTAGAATCCTGTTTTTTGAGGACAGCATCAGAGGGTACTTGGTTCTTGTTAATTGTCTTTCTAGCTTTTGATATAAATTCTCTTAAGTTATTTTGTCTCTCTGGGTAACAAAGAGAGTGTACCCATAAGTAAACTATTCCTTTTCATTAGTTAGGAGCCTGAGTACAATTAACGTTGAAGGAATTAGGTTACAGTATTTCTGGCCCTAAATGTTCCATTGGCCTTTTCATGTTAAATACCTGGTTACTTAAGACTTGGGGAACCCTCTCCTTCCATTTAACCTACGGGAAGAGAGCTGGAAACTACAGTCTTAATTTCTTCCATGATAAAACAAGGGAAGTTTAGTAAGGCTGAAGTGTAGACCATTTTGTCTCTGAAATAAAAGAACACTAATATTAGTCTTGAATGTCATTTCAGGAATTTTTTCTAAATTATATGTAAGTTATATAATTATATATGTCATATTATATATATTATTATATAAATTATATTATTATAAATTTATCTAAATTTATGCTCTTATTTATTCTCAGGTTTACATTTGAAATAGAAATGGACAGGCCAGTATAGGATTTTTAGTATAGAATAAAAATTCACCCCAAAACGAAGCTAGCTTCCTTTCCAAGTCTTTTTTAATCAAACATTGCCTTAAGTGTATACATGGGTTCTGTTAGAAATTCTGAAGTTGGAAACCAGTCTAAGACCCACTTCTGTATGTTTAGTGTTACACTTCAGGCTCTCCAGTGTGAGAATCCTTAAAATGATCTGTTGTTTCTTGATAGGATTTACAGTCTGCATGGATGTAATGTGCATTTGGTATCATGGTTGTTTGACTATTGACTTAATACCAAGGAGAAGCTAGCATGCTTGTTCTTCCTGAGTCATGCAAAGTACTCAACTACATGAATAAATAGTATCAGCTATATCTGACAAAAATAAATTCAAAATTAATGCTTTAATCTTTTCTAAGTTACGGTGTATTTTTGCTTGCTTACACAAGAACTATTGGTGTTTTCATTTGAAATGAATACAAATACTTTGGATTTAAGAAATTCTACTTTAGTGCCCAACATAGAATTGACCAATTTTGGTTTTCTTTCCTGTTGAGAGAAAAGTTTTAGTAGCATATTTTGTTAGTTGAGTTAAAACAGGTCTTATTGCAATGTGTTTCCAAAATGTCGTAGGAAAACACAGGTGCTTTTATTGCTCTGGTGTTAATGGCTGGATCAACCAAGTAGTAAGTAGGATGTGGTTGGCTTTCTAGAGATTATGAACTATCCCAGACTTATCAACTGAGCTTTCATTAAAGTTTACAAAACTTCCCAAGCCCCTTAACATTTAGTACATTTGAGGATGTTCGTGATGCTGAAGATGCTTTACATAATTTGGACAGAAAGTGGATTTGTGGACGTCAAATTGAAATACAATTTGCACAGGGAGATCGGAAGAGTAAGTACCCTTATACCTAACATACGTATAATACATTGCTTTTAAATAAATGTCATAAGATTTCTTGGAAGTATTTGGGCAGTTTAGGCAACTCTTGAAAACCCTAATGGATCTTATTTAATACTGGGCAAGATACTGAAAGATACAAATTAAAATAGTTGCTGAGAAAGCATTTAGGTAGTTACAAATTAATGGTAATTTCTCCAGTTGTTGAATCTGGACAGTGTCTGTCTTACAAATTTGAACCAGGCTGGCAAGATAGCTCAGTGGTAGAGCGCTTGCCTTGCATGCCTGAGGCCCTGGGTTCGATTCCTCAGCACCACATAAGCAAAAAGAAAAAAGCCGGAAGTGGCGCTATGGCTCAAGTGGTAGAGTGCTAGCCTTGAGCTGAAGAGCTGAGGGACAGCGCCCAGGCCCAGAGTTCAGGCCCCACGACCAGACCCAAAAAATAAATAAATAAACAAATTTGAACCAGAATGATGACTAAATGTGTAGGTTTGTATGAGAAATTTGTTAGCTATCCATTGCTTTTCTGTGTCATTGTCTTTCAGAACTGCATATTTATATATTACTATGTTTTGGTGCTGCACATAGTTCATAGGCCAGATTTAGAATTTGAAGTAGTTCTATGGTATAAATTCCTGTAGTCAAAGGTAGGTATCTTATATTGGACAGCCTTGTGAGGAGACTTGGAAAAAGAAAATAGAAGAATATTAGCGTTATTTTTAACAGAAAGCAATTCAAATATATTACTCACTTTCCTTGGTATAAAGGGATGCAAGAAAGAGGAATGTATAACTCATTTTGTGGGTTTAAATACTGTTTTTAATGTTTCTAAATATTTCTGTTCTCTGTGTTCCTAGCACCAAATCAAATGAAAGCCAAGGAAGGGAGGAATGTGTACAGCTCTTCACGTTATGATGACTATGACAGATACAGACGTTCTAGAAGCCGAAGTTATGAGCGGAGGAGATCAAGAAGTCGGTCTTTTGATTACAACTATAGAAGATCTTACAGTCCTAGAAAGTAAGTGATGTACAGTGATCTGTCTTTTTAAAGTGACTGTGTGGCCAAGTGTGACATGTGCCTCTAGTCCTAGCTACTCAGAAGGTAGAGGTGGGAGGAATTGGAATTTGTGCTTAGCCTATGCAACAGGCACAATCTCAAGAAAGATGATTTGTTCACAATATTTTACCTGTTTACTTGAAATTGTATGTATCAAGTACTTCATTGAAAAAATATTTTAGTGTTCCATTTTAAATGAATTAAGACTCTGTAAATAGACATTTGTCACTGTTTGCTTTTTTTGATATGCTTTTCAGCAGTAGACCGACTGGAAGACCACGGCGTAGCAGAAGCCATTCCGACAATGATAGGTAAATAACTTTGTTTTGAAAAAGACTTGTGTATTTTTCAATTTCACAGTGAACTTTTTCTCTAAAAATAAGTAATTTGATTAATATAGAATCTAATTTTTACTCTAATTGTATCTCTCCTCTGTTTTGAAAGATTCAAACACCGAAATCGATCTTTTTCAAGATCTAAATCCAATTCAAGATCACGGTCCAAGTCCCAGCCCAAGAAAGAAATGAAGGCTAAATCTCGTTCTAGGTCTGCATCTCACACCAAAACTAGAAGCACCTCTAAAACAGATTCCAAAACACATTATAAGTCTGGCTCAAGATATGAAAAGGAATCAAGGAAAAAAGAACCACCTAGATCCAAATCTCAGTCAAGATCACAGTCTAGGTCTAGGTCAAAATCTAGATCAAGGTCGTGGACTAGTCCTAAGTCCAGTGGCCACTGATAGTATAAACCATGATACTTTCTAGGCATGTATCACTCATTTATTCATAGTTTGGTATACTTAAATTATCAGGAATACAATGTTGCAATGATGCATAAAAACACTTGTTAGTTTTCCCTGTACCAGGCAATGGTTATAATTAAAATGATATGGTGTTGAGAAGCCACTCTTAAGAGTCTGGTTTGTTTAATGTTATGGGCAGCTACCAATTTGTGGTGTCTCTGTATATTTTTGTAAAGATTCTCATTTTTTATGCTTGAAGTCTTGGTGAAAAGATGTTGGTTGACCATAGTTTGCAACATTGTCTTATTAAAATAAATTTTCATAGTAATATTTGGTAGAACTGTTAACCTAGAAATGTAGCTTGCTAATAAGATAGAATGATACAAAAGTGAGGTTGTAGCCACATTACAACACTTACTGCTCAGACACATTTAGGTTCAGGGTGGACCTTTATGTCTTGTCAAAATGTCTAGCCCTGTGATAATAGTTTATTTATGATGCAGTGTGGAATAGTTCTTTTGTTAATCCCACTGTTGTGGGGAATGATGCCAACTGGGTCAAATAGCATTTTCAGGAAAATTTGAGTTTTTTGCTGAAACATGGAGCCTTCACTGTTTTGTTTTTTGTTTTTTTTTTTTTCTGGTTTCTAAGATTTGGAACAGAAGAATTCCCTTTAAAATTTGAATTTGTCAGCAGCAGAAACAATTTTAAGGGGAAAGGGTTGTTTTTATTTAGTCTCCAATTTAAGGAATATTGTTACTTAGTTTTCTTACTGCTATTAGAAGCATTAGATAGTTTCAAAGTAGGTTTCTGTGTGTGTGAGTGTGTGTGTGTGTAGTGTGTAAAAATAACTGAATTTTAATGCTTAGAGCACTTGGCACATGCATTTGTATCAAAGTCTGCCTGCCTCTTTAAGGGAGGCTTGCTCTTCACACCTCAGTTTATTTAATGTGAGGCAAGTTGAAAGATACTCGCATCCTAGCTGATTCTGTGGTGCCATGAAACAAAATAATTTTGAAAAAAGGATTAGTTTTAAGCAAGAGCTTCATCTCTTAGTTTTTGATTATCAATATAGTATCTGACTCAAATGAGGAAATAATTCCCTTAACTATTTATAATTTCTAGTCTTTCTCTGAAACATTTGAGAAATAATAAGACTGACTTGAAATGTCCAGGATCATTTCAGAATAAAAGTTAGCATCTTTGAAAATCTCACACTGCTTGTTTGCAGATATGAGTAAGAAATGCCGTGGGGAAATGATTTCTTTTGGAAGGTTACTTTTTTAAATTTTTGGTTTTAGAAGTCTAGGCCCTGCCTGTATAAGAACAAAGATGGTTTTTTAATACTGTTTGTGGAATGTGTTTAAAGGATTGATTCTAGAACCTTTGTATATTTGGTAGTGTATCTAACTTTGATTTCTTTACTGTTTGCAGTTAATGTTCATGTTCTGCTATGCAATCATTTATATGCACGTTTCTTTAATTTTTTTTTAGATTTTCCTGGATGTATAGTTTAAACAACAAAAAAGTCTATTTAAAACTGTAGCAGTAGTTTGCAGTTCTAGCAAAGAGGAAAGTTGTGGGGTTAAACTTTGTATTTTCTTTCTTATAGAAGCTTCTAAAAAGGTATTTTTATATGTTCTTTTTAACAAATATTGTGTACAACCTTTAAGACATCAATGTTTGGATCAAAAACAAGACCCAGCTTATTTTCTGCTTGCTGTAAATTAAGCAAACATGCTATAATAAAAACAAAATGAAGGAAATAATGATTAACTGGAATTATTATAGTATTGGATCTGATTTTAAATAACAATGGAAATAATCCTTTATAGAGTTAGAAATATCAGTGTTGCATTAGGCACAACTAACTTTGGAAATGACAACCTCACAGAAAGTTACATCTTTTCCAGAGTACTTAAAAATTCCTATCTCAAAGTTGTTTTATGATTGTTCTTAGGGTAAGCAACGTAGGAGGTTATTCAAAAGTATTAAGATACATCCAAGTGAAATTTGGACCAGTTGGTTATAAATTTATTCATTTCTTATGGCTCTCTTTGTAAACAAGATACATTTAAAATTCTTCTACTGAATGTTGGTGAGCATTTATTACGTGATGATAATCACTTTGAGGAAGTTGTTTAGGTATTTTGTGGATTGAATTCTAGATGTTTTAATAATAGTAGAGCTGATAGTTTGTTATTGGAGATGTGCCAGACACTGCTTAACAGGCTGTGTTGACTTGTTCACTCTTCACAAAACCCTAGGAAGATGCTTTTCTTTTTTCCAAATACTGTTCCTAACATTTCACTTCACACAGACTAATAGTTGAAATCATAAAGGACCTGGATCCTATCGGTGGTTGGTGAGGATTGGTGTGCAGTATTCTAAGTTAATTTTAAATTATTTTTGAGTACCTGATATGTGTCTGTCACTGGGCTGTATTTATTATCAACACAAAAGTTAAAGGCTGAAACTTTGCCTCTTAAGCCAAGTAAGCGGGACAGAAAGTGCCTCTTAAGCCAAGTAAGCGGGGCAGAAAGTGCTTGTGTGAGAAAGGACAGGTGCTACATAGAGTTGGGCTGTTAAATTACAACCCAGGGAAAAGACCTGGGAACTACTGTACTATCTCATGAGAATTTGGCCCAGTAAGCTGCTACATCCAGTCAACTAACAAATTCCTGTATACCACAGAGAAGAATAAAGAAAACCAAACTGACAAACATCCTTCTTTTATTTAAGACCAAACTGCAGCTGGAATACCCAGTACAGTTCTGCTTACTACACTTCAAGAAAGATCTGAAAGCGGAAAAAGAACCAAAGAAGGGCAGTTCAAGCGACCAAAGGGTGGGTGGAAGGTGCTGCAGTATGAATACTGTACGAATATTTTGACTCTGGTCTGAAAAGATAAAAGAATTATCGAAACTACATGGAATAATTGAAGTCCCTTCAAGTTTGAAAGTAAGCATTTTAGGACAAATAAAAGGCAATTCCATTTTGTACTTACGGAAATCAGTCCCTAAATATGAACAGGTTTATATTGATTCATAAGTTATTGGACTCTAGGATGTCTGAACATGGAGGAAGACAGCCACAGTCTCCTATGGTGCCTCTATTGGTCTGTCTTAACCTGAATTGAGTGGGGGGAAAGTATGGTCCAATATAAACTTTTCTTGGTTGTCTCTTAAAACTCAGTTCCATTTATGGCAAGTCTTGCCTTGTTTATTCTGATGCCAGTATTTTCTGCTAAAAAATGCTTTGTGTTGGCATCTGAGTTTATTTACTTGTATATCACATGCAGTTTACATCTTTAACCACTGTTTCCCAGGTAAATCCCAATTATACTTGACATCTGGCTGAAAGGGCCTGTCTCTAAGCACCTCTTCCTAGTCAGTGTGTTCAGTGAATATTTAATGTGCCCTTAGTGTGGACAAAACATTTTACTGGATAATTAAGGAGAATGGATAATAAAGGTCTACTGAGCACAAAAATCTAGTGAATCATTACCATGTGCCTCAGGGTTCTGGGGTATCATTTTACACCATATCCTCATGTAATTGTACAACCCAATATCATATCAAAGATAAGTAATTTTATGGTTATCTGCCATCTAAAAGTATCCAGTATTCCTCTTGTTTGCATCCCATTAATAATGAAAAAGATTTAATCTGTAATTCATTTACTGTGCAGTGGCTGTATATATTATATTGTTAAACTCTGTCTCAAACATACAAGAAAATAATTCTCAAAATGAGTAACTGCATTAGACATAAAGGAGACCCTGGGTGCTATATTTAAATTATTTGGGGGCAGACAGCTATTACTCCAACTGATTTAGTATATTCTGTAATGGAGAAATTGTTCACAAAATTATACTTTCTAGTGATTCACATGTACATTTTATAGGGGACACAACTGTATAGTGAATAAATAACTTTTATAGTGTCACAAAACTTTGGATTCCTTAGTTTCTTATTAGGCTATAAAGTTTTGTTATACATTGATCCCATCACATTTGATTTTTGTTGTATTTTACCACGTATTTAAAACTATGAGTTCATTTAAAATCTGGAAATGGAGTGTAAACCTCTACAACAGTTTTGAAAAACATAAATATGCACATCACTGAAGATACAACATGGAGATCCATTTTTAAAAATTTAGTCCGTCAAAGAGTCCACAAATTTTAACTTGGTTCAATCAGGTTGGAAAATGGCTATACCTTTATTTTCAAGGAGATACTACAAATTGATATCTAGAGTTTAGTAAAGCAGAATTACAGAATTACAAAATGTATTTTATACATTTACATTGAATTCGTGGTTCTTAAAGGTAGAGGGAGTTTTATTTTTTTAATGTGTGTTTATATTTTGTCCTCTATCCCTTACTTTTGAAGTTAAAATATTCCAGAGTGGGGGGGGGGGTTAAAGTTACATATTTGGTTGGTTGAGATTTTCTTTAAAAGACTGTAAACATAGTTTTTCGTTTTAGTATTTGGGGCTGTTTTGGGGTTTGGGGGGGGGGTTGGCTAAAAATTATTATTCCTAACAGTAATACCTGACAATTCTCTGCAACTTTTAAATGTGGTAAATCAGACAGGACCTATGTTTTTGGCAGCTGTTAAGTTACAATGAATTGTCTACCTTTTCTGGTTTCCATGTACGTTAAAAGCTGTTGTTACTAAGCACCTGCCAAGAACATGCCACACCTAAAGCTGCTCACATATTCCTACTTAACACTCCTGAGCAATGGGTGCTATTTCCATGTATAAGAAAGTTGTCCTTCATGGAATACCTACCATGTGACAGGCTTTTTGAAATACCTGTCCATTCCTCAGTACTTGTTAAACAACAGGTTGCTTTTAGGATGAGAAAAATTAGGTGGAATCCAAGATCTCCCAGGTTGTTGGGACTCAGTATTAACCATCTTTCCAAAGTTAAATTTCTATAATTTTCATGGTAATATTTGACCATGTTCCTGTTAGTCCCAAAATTATATCTTGGCATGGGAAGGCTGAGATTGAGCAATAGTTGGGACTCTTTAAGGAGGATCATGAAGATTTAGGAGCCACAGGAGTGAAATGTTCTTTATTTTTACAGTGATAACTGGATAAATAGGTGATGTAAGCAACCTGTTTACTTCAGCTGTTAACATCTATAAGCTTATCCTAGTAGTCATGGAAAACGACTCCTTGGGTCTTTTCCTCTGCCTTCTCTAAGTGTTGGTTATTATGATGTGTGTATGTGTAAAGTTGTTTCATTCCCTTTTTAGAAAAAAAGGGATGCATGTAAATTAATTTGACAGTAGTTTGTAAAGTAAAAGGCCTTTGTAATCTAGTTTTCTGCAGATCAATTTTTTTTTGAATGCTGGAGAAATAATAAACTGGTCTAGGAGCAAAACAAAAATCTTGGTTTTCTTTAGATTTTGCTCTATCTCAAAGATGTGTCTACCCTGGTAGACTTTCTCCTTATTTGTGTAAGAGGCTTTAGGTACGGATTTGTTAAAGTTGCCTAGAAGAGCCAGGTGCTGATGGCTCAGGCCTGTAATACTACCTACTCAGGAGGCTGAGATCTGAAGATCACAGTTCAAAGCCAGTCTAGGCAGTAAAGTCCATGAGACTTTAGTTGCAAATTAATCACCAGAAAACTGGAAGTGGTGCTGTGGCTCAAAGTGGTAGTGTGCTAGTGGTAGTCTTGAACAAAAGAGCTCAGGGACAGCGCCCAGGCTCAGAGTTCAAGTCCCACGACTGATGTAAATGGCCTAGAATGCAATTTAAACTGGGAAGTTTGCAAGTGCAGCTAAAACCCTTTGCCCTCCTCACGCCCGTTTGGGAGAATATAATTTGCTGAGATCTTAATAGGTCATGGACCTGGATTTCCTCCTTATGTATGATATGGCCACCAAAATGATATTAAAAAGTGACATTTACCTATGACTCACAGTATGGCCAGCAGCAGCCCTGCATAGTACGTTCCACCACTACTAAGTTCATTAGTTTGGGGAAATCTTGTCACCATTTTCTGAAAGCTAACCAGAACCTTTATTTCTGTGTATTTCTTAAGGTATGAGGTATTCATATGACCAAAAATTCAGGTTACCCTTACTCAGTAACTCTTGTCTACTCCTGCCCTACATTTTAGAACTTTCACCACTTCTGTCTCAGACTGAGAATACATTAAAAAAAAACTTGGTATGTGTGGCTAATTGTTCAATGTAAAGAAACTGCAGCACAGTACAGAAAATATAGCCTTGCTCTGAGCAGCTAAAATTCTTCCAGCTACCTCTCCACTGTGAGTGATCTCTCCTTCCAGGGGTGTTAACTAAACCAAAGGGTTCTTGGCAATTTGAGTTCTTTTGTGCTAATTAAACCTGTTTTACTCAACTTTGAAAACCTTGGAAATTTTACAAGTGTTTTTATTAACAATGGTAGGAAAGTGAAGTCCCAAGTAATGTTAAGGTTAGTAGCAAGTGAGTAGCCTTTATCCAGCCAAACATTCTCATTCCAGTTTAGTTGTGTGCATTCTAAGATTAGGCATGTTATTTAAATAAAACAAGATACTGGGGAGAAAAAAAACTTTAATTTCATGTTTTGAATTCAGATCATGTACATTAAGTACCATATAAACTTGTTCTTTTAGGGTATTCAGTATTTGGCTTATTCAGATTTGGAGAAATATACAACCTAGCTGTTTGCTTTAACAAAGTATCACATTAGCCAGGCACTAGTGGTTCATACTTGTAGTCCTAATTACTTGGAGGCTGAGAT